TTTATCGTCCATATCTGCTGCTTCCAAAAGGTCTTTTATTTCACTACTCTGAGACCTCTCCTATTACCTTATTTAGTAATCTGATAACTTTTTCTTTTTAATAAATCTTCAAGTTATTCTATACTGACCTTGATCCTATTGTAGGTACTATGCATAGTTTCACATGGCAGATCCAACAGAAGTGCGATTTGCGCAAATGGCATATGCTCCTGTTTATAGAGAGCAATAATTGCCCCTTGCATTGCACAGGTGAGGCTTTTTCCCTTTGTCATACTGTTCATATTATTATTATCTGCATTCCCCAATTTGCTTTGAGAGTAATTAAATGCTTACCTTCACTGACAAGACAGCAGCAATTTAGTTATTTGATTGTACTCAGTATTCAGTTTCACAGCCTGAAAGTCATCGTGGTGATATTATGGGCGCCACCGTTGCCATCTTCAAAGCAGCTTGAAAACTTTGCCACATATGGCTCCGCGGGCACTATTCCAAAAGAGGTGCCCATTCTTGGCTCGGAGACACGAGTAAAAACTTGTCAAACTCGCTATGCAGCCAAGGCCACAAATACGGCGGGATATTTTCTGCTGTCCCTTTCGCCCCTGTCTGGTCTCAAGAGTACCTAGTGGGTGTTTTTCTCAGAATTAGGTTCCCGCCTGATCCCTGCATGGTCTCTAGAATACTCGGTGAGTATCGTTTCTCAGGACGGGGCTCGACAGCTGTCGTGCCCCGATCGGCCACTACTTCACGTACTTGTATGATGGCCTTGGTTGCATGGCGAGTTTTTACGGTATCTGTCGCAACGTTCAGTCAGGTTTAAAATGTCAAACACTAGCCTATTTTGGTAACTGGGAATAAATTTACGCGGAATCTCTCTTTTCGATCACTCCCATGGTGAGCTATTCTGCGGTATTCTGGGCGCTTCGCACTTGTGCGTGGCAAGGTTTTTCCAGTCACGGCTACCAAAATAGGTTAGTGTTCGACTATCTCTTGGTCTCTCCGAAACTTGTCAAATTTCGTAGCAAACAGGCTAAGCCGCTCCTGGAACGATTTGAGCCTCGTAATTTGCCAAGAATACCGTATTACACCCGCCCAGAGTGCCGAGTCACTCGAGTACCGAAAAGACCGATTTTCTGACCAAGTTCAGCTAGCTGTTGCCAAATCTGGACTCAGCGCGCCAGGCTATGAATTTGACAGTCTCAGATATCTCAAAGGGATAAGTTAGTCTAGTCCAAATCAACCCGCGCGTGTTCCGCAAACTACCGGTAGGCCACTACACATCCTCAACCGCACGCTCCAAGAATCCGCCGGAATCAGCACCCGCAGTACTCGTTGGGCCTAACAGGCGCTGCAGTGGAAGGGTCGGGCCATGGCGAATTCGGGAAATGACGCGGTGATTGCACCGTGGGGTCTACTTGCCCGGCCCCGCACAGCAGGAATATTCCCACAAGAACTACCGGTATCTCCTCCTCGGCTGGGGAAATGGCAATGAGATCCCGATCCGGTATCAGATAGAGGGGCATTCTGAGAAGAGCAGGATAAAGTAGGGGATCTGTCCCTTCGCCTATAATATTATTAGCATAATTAACCGAACATTTGGCTCCGCAAACCACAACAAATGACCCCCGGCATACAAGACGTTAATTAGGATGATGTGTTCGATTCAATTTTTGAGTATTTTTTAGTTGTGGTCCCGGTAGCCAAGTATCGCGAAAGAAGTACGCCCCATTTCATCGCGATGCTCTGTTAATTACGCCAACGTACGTGTACAATAGGAAAGCTACAATCGTGGCCCCAAATTATGATGCGCGACTATGCTCCTCCTTCTATGCTCACTTATTCTATTGCTTCCGTAGTAGGGCCTCCCGTAACTCCGCCACCACCGCTGAAGTCAATGGGGTTTAACTACTTACACGTCCTGAATGCAACCATGTGTGAACCTGCTGAGCAGGCTGCAACGAATCCGTGAGGGAAGATTGCGGAAGGTTACGAGGAAGTAGTCGGAGACTGGGAAAAAGTAGCTGGAAAGACCGAGTGGAAGAAACGGGAGAAGGCGGAGGAGGAAGAAAAGAAATGGGTTATTCAACACGATGGCGAGGTGGAGAGACTAAGGCTAGAGAAGGAAAGGGTGGCGCGGGAAGAGCAGCGATTACCAACTACTTGTTCACAAGCACTACCTCCCTGAAAGGTCCTGCACCGCCCCTTTCCCCCCTCCGCCGCCGACACCCTGGCCCACCCGCCCCTCCAACACCAATGCCCAAGAACCCGAAGAGTGAGAAGTACGAGAGGAAGTTCGGCCTGACCCGAGCACGTTGATTAGCTTTCGTGCCGACTGCTAGTATTTTCGATATCTTTGCGAAAACTTCTACAATAAGAGTGAAGTCTTGAATAAACGCGAGACCACTTTTTCACCACTAGCAATCATTAATTCCCACACCTGACCTAAAGTGTGAATAAATCCCATATCATTATCTCCCTGCTCAAAGACCTCCGTAACGCCGTTCAGCTAGCGCCATTACAATCCAAGGCTTGAGTGATTCGCGGGTATCGTGCGTGATAGGTGCTCCAGGAAGCGTGAAACTAAACGAAGCACTTTTGGAGGTATACTTCCCTCTTGATCTCACTTTGACCATTCACGGGATGATATTAAAATACGGTAAAGGTCTCATATGCCACTAATGTTTTCAAAAATACCCTCAGATGCCACTGAATTTAATTATATAAGTATTTTTCCATAATTAATTTTAAAATTTGAATTACCATAAAAAGAAAATTTTTACATAGTATAAAATTCTGAGAAAGAAAAATGTAAGTACATACATAATTGTAAATTAAACCATGAATACCGCATTTGCTAGCTTATATGAGTAGCAACAAGTAGCCAAATTGTATACAATTCCCCACACGTTGAGCATTTTTGCCCTGGACATGCTGGCTCATCAGGTAGGATACCCAATTAATTGGCAATTAGCTGCCTGCTAGTGTGCTGAACTACACAACTCATGTACACTCTTTCCTGGGTCTTCCATGGGGCTTGTATGTAATAGAAGGCTCTAACTGTAGAGCAATAGGAGTAATTTCATACCTTTATTCAGCTAATACTCCATTTCCTTAAATATTTGTATTATCTGTGAGAAGGAAGTTGCCTTTGTAAATTGATTTCCAGGTAGCAACAGAAAAGGTATTAAGTGGGAGAGAAAAAAGAATAGTGAAGTAAAAAATACCTGTTCCTGTGTACTGGGAATTCTCCATTACCAGTACCAAGACTAAGTAAATAATTTATATCGCGAAACCTAATTTGTATTAAATTTTAAACTAAATAGAAGCACAACTTACATAACATATTCCTGTGGCATCTGAGGGTACTGTGGCATTTGAGGGGATTTTTGAAAACATTAGTGGCATATGATACCTTTACCGATTAAAATATCATAATAATTATTATCATCATACCTCATATTATGCGGTCAATTAGGGTTAGGGTTTCAATTTGTGCTCCGGCTGATGGGATGTAGTGGAACTATTGGTAGCATGGAGATTATTTACCAGTAAGAGTCGTGGCGTCCTCAAAACACAAGATAGATAGATGTTAACTTAACGAATATGATATGATAGCTGGAGCGGAAGACTAGAAACACGATGATATGGACGAGCCCCTAAGCGCAACACCAAGGAATGGAAAGGGGAAGAAAGAAATCAAAAGGGGCGTGTCATATATAAATCGCCAATCGCCAGCCGAAACTAGTATAAAACAAATCAACAAAAATGCCGTTATCAGAAAAGTCCATTAAAATTTTACAATACATTTAAGCGAAAGAGTTTTTGCCCATACCAAAGACTTGCTCGGAAATTATTTATTGGATGAGAATAAGTCTAGTGAAGAAGGAAGGATATAAACGAGAATGGCTAAAAGGCAAACGAAAGAGGCTATGATAATATAGTGGTCGGCGGAAAAGTAGAGGGTTGTTCGGGTGAAGGGGTGGGTGTCGGGTTTGCGTGGAGGGTGCGGGGGCTTCGGGGGCTTCGGGGGGCATATGGGAGGGGGCTGAGTCACAGTGGACGGTTCGGTAGGAAGGTTATTATCTACGGACTTAGAAACAGGGTCGTTGACGTTCGGTGTCCCAGCCTTCTCACCAGGGTCTGGAGATGTGGTTGCATGTTGGGTATTAGGGTTGGCGATGTTAGTGTTAGGATCGCCAACTTGGAATTGGATTTCCGGCACGGGCTCATCCTCATACCCAGCGCAGGGCGGGAGTGATGATGCCCAGCCACCAGGATCAGTCGAATCTGGGTTGCCCTTCCCCGGTCCCTGTAGGATCCTCGCAGCTTCTTCGTGGCCCTCGGAGAGAGCCCACCATAGTGGTGTGTGGTTCTTGTTGTCTGGTGTGGCGGTGTGAATATCTTTCCTAGTGATTCTGCCGCCTCGGCGACCAAGCTAACCTTCTCTTATAATCGACCGAGAATTCCTGCCCTTACACGCTCTCGCAAGGGGAATATAATCCGGCAGGGCAGGCCTCTGGGACACTCAAACCACTTCTAAACTCTGTCTCTCTGGGAAGCGGGGGCTTCTTTCAGCCTACATCTACTCCCTCACGGGTAACGAATCGAGCTTCCAGAGCTTTCCCACCCCACTTGAAAAACTTGCTATCCGTCACTTTGAAAGACTTGGGTTCGGTAGTTCACACACGGGTTATCATATATCTAAAGTTCGAGACCGGGCCCGACATCTCTACCGCTGCGAACGTTTTCAAAAGGACTCGCGCAACTCGAGAACCCGGGCACGGACGTATATTACTTGGGTGCTCTGAAGGGGAGATCTTTTCTGACGGAGGTGGCGCTGCTAAGGGGTGAACCGGAGGGTCTTGGACATAACATAGGATTTTGAGGGTCGTGACGATATCTGAGTATTCCAGATTATGTGTAAGAGGGAGCGGTGTAAATCACTGGGTAGTGTTGAGCGGATTATCATACTTGGAGGAGGTGAACTGGCTACTTGTGGGTTTGAATGAAATTCTGGAGGTTTGGGGTCAACCAGTGATGCTAATTGACGGTTGAGGGTCGTGGTGTCCTCAAAACACAAGATATGATAGATGTTAAAATAACGATGAAGGAAGAGAAACACGAGGATATGGATAAATTCTGGGTAGAACACTTAGGAAAAAAAGGCGAAGAATAAAAAATGAAAAAAAATATGTTTATAAGTGGCAAACCGTCACCTGGAACAGGTGAAGAAGAAAAAAACGCCGATACTAGAAAGGTCTATTTACGATACATTTAATCAGTAGATGTGTTGCCCTCACCAAAGAATTACGTAGAGACTATTTGTAGAATGAGAATAGGTCTGGCGAAGAAGAAAGGATGTAAACGAGGACAGCTAAAAGACAAACGAAAGAGGCGATCATGATATAGCGGTCGACAGCAATTGAGAGGGTTGGTCTGATGTTGGGATGGGTGTCGATTTTGTTTGGTGAGTGTGAGGATCCGAGAGGGTAGATGGAAGGGGGTTGGGGTGGGGTGGGTGGTTCGGCTGGGAGGTCATTATCTGCGGACGTAGGAACAGAACCATTGATATCTGGCATCCCATCCTGGTCACCGAGAACTACCGACAAGGGGTTTGTGATGTCGGTGTTAGGATCATGTGCTTGGAATTGGATCTCCGCGACGGACTTGTCCTCACGCCCTGCAGGGGGCGGGAATAAGGCGTTACCGCCGGGACCAGTTCCACCGGAACCGCTATTTTCTGATTCCTGTAGGATCCTCGCAACTTCGTGATGGCCTTCGGAGAGAGCCCACCATAGTGGCGTTTGGTTCTTGTTGTCTGGTGTGGTGGTGTGGACATCTTTCCTTTCCAAAAGTAGTTTTGCTATCCGCACATTCCCCCACCCAGCCGCCCACGAAAGTGGTGTGCGGCCATATTTAGTGTCCGTCGTGTTGGGATTGACATGATCTCGTTGCAAAAGCACCTTTACTACCCCTCATACTCATACCTGGCAGCCCACCAGAGTGGTGTACGGCCATATTTGGTGTCTGCCGTATTAGGATTCACATCCTCTCGTTCCAAAACCATCTTTATTACCCCCTCACGCCCGAACTTAGCGGCCAGCGAGAGTGGCGTCCGACCAGTGGTGTCTACCTGGTCGGGATTGACATCCGGTCGCTCCAATAGAATCTGTACTACGCCCTCTTGCCCGTTCCCAGCAGCCCACGAGAGCGGTGTGCGACCGTTGGTGTCTGGCTGGTCGGGATTGACATCCGCTCGCTCCAATAGCATCTTTACTACCTCCTCATGCCCGCGCATTGCGGCCCGCGAGAGTGGCCCCAGGCCGTATTGGGTGTCTGCAAGGCCGGGGTTGACATCCGGTCGTTCCATAAGCATCTTCACTACCCCCCCATGCCCGTTCCCAGCGGCCCACGAAAGTGATGTCCGACCATATTGGTTCTCCGCGTGGTTAGGATTGACATCTGTTCGTTCCAATAGCATCTTCACTACCCCCTCATGCCCGAACTCAGCAGCCCACGAGATTGGTGTTCGGCCATACTTGGTGTCTGCACGGTCGGGATCAACATCCGCTCGTTCCAATAGCACCTTTACCACCCCCTCATCGTCATACCTAGCAGCCCGCCAGAGTGGGGTACGGCAATATTTGGTGTCTGCCGTATTAGGATTCACATCCCCTCGCATTAAAAGTATCTTTATCAAGCCCTCGCGCCCGAACTTAGCGGCTCACCAGAGTGGTGTCAGGCCGTTGGTGTCTGCGTCGCCGGGATTGACATCCGCTCGTTCCAATAGCATCTGTACCACCCCCTCTTGCCCGCTAGCAACAGCCCACGAGAGTGGTGTGCGGCCGTTGGTGTCTGCCTGGTCGGGATTGACACCTTCTCGTTTCAATAACATCTTTACTACCCCCTCCTGCCCGTACACAGCGGCCCACGAGAGTGGTGTCCGGCCATACTTGGTGTCTGCCGTATTGGGATTGACTTCCTCTCGCTCTAAAAGCACCTTTACTACCCCCTCATGCTTCCACCTAGTGGCCCACCAGAGCGGTGTACGACCATATTTGGCATCTGGTGTATTGGGATTGATATCCCCTCGCACCAAAAGCGCCTTTACTACCCCCTCGTGCCCGAACCTGGCTGCAAATGAGAGCGGTGTCCGGGCAGATCTAGTATCAACCCGATCGGGATTGACACCCGTTCGTTCCGATAGTATCTTCACTACCCCCTCCTGTCCATTTCCAGCGGCCCACGAGAGTGGTGTCCGGCCATATTGGATATCCGGCTTGTCAGAATTGACATCTTCTCTTTCCAAAAGCATCTTCACCACCCCCCCATGCCCGAACCGAGCGGCCCGCGAGAGCGGTGTCTGGCCATATTGGGTGTCCGCTTGGCTAGGATTGACATCCGCCCGTTCCAAAAGCACCTTTACGACCCCCTCTTGCCCGTTCCCAGCAGCCCACGACAGTGGTGTCCGGCCATATTTGGCGTCTTGTGTATTGGGATTGACATCCAGTCGTTCCAAAAGCCTCTTCACTGCATCCTCTTGCCCTCTGAAGGCTGCCCATGTGAGAGCGGTACTCTCGTTGCTATCAGTTGCATTAACATCCCACTCTTTCATCTGCACTATAGCGCCAACTATCTCCACAATCCCAAGAAATGCCGCCCCGTGTAGTCCTGTAAATCCCGAAGGTCCTCCTTCCCCGTTAAAATAAGGGCCCCAGGGTTTCCTGTGGCTATCGCGCAATAACAACAGTTGAGCAGATATATGCTGATCAAGTCTATCGAGAAGCCGGAGCGCAAGTGTTTTCACATCCCCCGTCGTTGCCCTTCTTGTATGGTCCCCCCAGTAATAAGAAGAATACTCCAAAAAGGGCGTTGTTGAGGGGGCTGAACGGCGGGTTGGCGAGATATCCTTGACGCTTCCAAAATTAAGATATGTCAGGCAAACCTCCGCGATCGCTGAGTGGGGACTATCGAATAGGGCCGGATCACCAGAGAGGTGCTCCTGTAGAGTAAAGTGCACCAGTCGAACCGTGGATGAAGAGACCTCGACCGTGACGAGGCCCAGTGAAGATGATAGGAGTGTCCGTAGCGTCGGAACGTTTTCAAAATCAAGATCTGCAGATCCCACCTTAACTCCCAAGGCATGGCAGAGCTCCTCAGCCCGTAATGGCCGTTCCGAATACACCACCCACATTAGAACCTTCATTCCGAGTATTGATTTATTTCCCTTCTGCGCCTTTAGTCGCCCTAGAGTTGCCTTGTAGGCATCGCTCAGTCCGGTACCTTTTGTCATCTCTTCTAACTTCTTTCTCCTCTGGCGAATTGTCACCTCTCCCAGGATGGCGTCAATGTTTAGCGCAACAAGGAGGAATCTATAGGTAACCTTTGTCAGAATACATCATTGATAGAGTGGAAATGGCAAATTCTCCTACGCACATATCGGATATCTTCTCCAAGATAATTCTCACAATATCCTCCCGCAAATTGTCATTCATCGCATCCGGCTCGGGATCCTTTGATAGCCTCATCTCTAGATAATTCCTAACATCACCGGTGTTGGGACTGATAGGCATAACAATTGCCTTGACCAAATATCTTTGAACATCCCCCCCAACTTGGGGCCTGCCGGTGAGCAATATTCGCATGTTAGGAGACTCCCGAACGATGTCACCTAACGACTCGAGAAGCTCTAGTAGATGCTTCGGTAGACACTCGTCTAGAGCGTCGATACAGATGAAAACTTGTGGAAGTGAAGCAATAGTGGACCTCAATATTCTCATCAGACCCGGAAGTCGCAACCCTCTGCCACCAACCTCTCTCTTGCCTTCTTGAAATGCCTCACGTATATATTTCGGGATCCCCCCTCTTCCAAACAGTTGCTTTAGAATAGCCCCCATGATGTTGACGATTGTCTGATCTTGCTGGGAAAGGTAGTCGCAGTAGAAGCATGCAACGGCGATACCTTCTTCCCTTGCCTGATCTCACAAGGTGTCGATCACCAGCGAGCTGATTTTTTCTCGCGGTCAGCGATATTCACTTCGTTCAGTGAATTCCACCATTTACCTCAGATAGGTCTTGCCCACCCCCGGACTCCCTGAGCAAAACAGGACCGCCTTGTCACCCTCACCCTTTCTCCACTCCCGAAATTCGCGGGTTTCCAAAAGCCAATCCCCAACACCGTCGAATCGGTCATTTCGCACGCTTTGATGTCGGTTATTTGGCTCCAGTGGAGAGAGCCAACGCATTATCTCCGCATCCTCGTCAGACTTGTAGATGTTGGTGTTGAAACTGCCGATTATGTTTCCGCTGTTCGTATTGCCGTCGCCGATGTTGACGGACACCCTATATATAGACTGGGCCATGATAACCTGTCTGGAATGTTGTTTGAGTGTAGAAATAGTAAATCAATTTGCAAGGGTAGCGGTATCAGGGGAGTTGGGGCGCTTTCTTTAAGCTGAGCTGAAGCTGGGTGATCTGTCTTGTGTGACAATTGCTACCCAATCAAGTGGGGAGGATCTGCTGAAGGTGACTAATGCGAGCCAAGTCACAGGAACACTTTGCTTGAATTCCTACCTGCGCGAAATGTGTTTATAGGGAACCCCCTAGGTTTTCAATTATTATTCTTGTATGGAACGGGCCGGACGGTGATTTATTGGCACTCTGCGGTAGCCCGGGGACTTTATGGTTCGCGATTGCGCTGCATTTTGAGCGATCGCTCCCTAGCTTTTCACCACTTTCTGACTTACGCTAGCTTACTGTTTTTTTGTCGCCCTTGTCTATGGGATTCTGTTCCTTCTAATCTTTGGTGCATTGTGCTTCTTTACTCTTCCTGCTGTGCGCTATATTGACTAACTTGTGGGCCCCAACGGAGGTGGCTCTGGGTTGTATGCCGGGTTGGGGGGTACACATATGGCAGAGCTGGCATGCCAAAAGTAAGGGATTTGAGTGCTGGTTCGCGGGATATAGTGGCTGTACGCTATTCATTCGCAGTGCAATTTTCGGGCTTCCGGATGCGGATACTCCTTAAGGTGTAATGTAGACGCCTCACTGCGAGCGAGCCGGAGGACCATAATTGGGGATCGTAATTGTGGGCGGAAAGTATCATGAGAGTGTGAGGTTAAAATCTTGCTAAGGCACGGTGATTCGGATGGCAATCCCAACCATGAATACTCTGTATCCACATACTCGACATTTGGATGGCACTTTGCAAGAGATGTGCACGGTGGTAAAACCTCTTCGAAGTCGAGAGGACCCGTATCCCGACCCCGATCTAACAATACCAATCACTTGGGTTAAGATTTATTCCGAACAGTTCCTGTCAAAGACCGCATCTACATATATCGACCTCTTTGGAGAATGGACATTATTTCCTACAACTCCATTCCTCCATTCGCATCGGTGGAAATACTTCACGCGGAATATCCCTAACTGTATTTGTGATAAACCAGACCGAGTGGAGAGGAGGAAATTGTGTAATTGGGTAGATAGAGATTTGAATATTTTGGGTAGTTCACTTGGGTAGAAAGAAGACTTTCAAGTTCGCATATATTTTCTCAATATGATACATGATCCGCTCCTTCTTAATAGGATCTGCCTCCTCCAATATCAAGTCCGTGTGGATGAGAGTTTTCACCCCAGTAAGGGGGGGAGAGAGGTTTTCTCGCTCTAGTAGGAGAAGGGCTTTGCTAGTAAGGGGCAGAGAGCTTCGAATAAATAAATAAAACCACAGCTTGGAGGTATCCTGATCTCCTAGTTCGCGATAATGAAACAAAGAAATTGCCAAGAGGAAATGCAGCACAGAAAGACAAACAACTAGCAACGGCTTCTTGAATGGTATAGTACATAAGCACTTAATCTTCGGCCCAACCTTAGC